TGTGTCCTGTGCTCCTGAGGTGCCCCAAACACCCCAGCTCTGTGATGGGGGAGCAGCCTGAGCCCCCTCAGCACCCCCAGCCTGGCCAGCCACTGTCACTGGGATATTTTATGAAAATCCTTTCGCTGGGATTTTCTCCTGAGAAGCTGAGAAGCCCCAGAAAAGAAATGTAAACAATCACCTCTCTGATTGCTTTGGAACGTGGTCTGGAGGTTGTTTTCCAACAGGTGCATCTTTGGTTGGTCTCACGTGAGTTGTTTTTGCTTAATGACCAATCACAGCCAGCTGTGTTGGACTCTGTCTGTCACGAGTTTTTATTATCCATTCCTTTCCAGCCTTCTGATGAAAATCCTTCCTTCTATTCTTTTAGTATAGCTTTAGTATAGCACTTTTTAATATAATATAATATCATAATATCATAAATCAGCCTTCTAAGAAATAAGGAGTCAGATTAATCTCTTCCCTCGTCCTGGGACCCACAAAGACATCCTCACACCACACCTTCCCGGGGACTCCTCGGGGCCTTTCGTCCTCGTGCTCACCCCAAAACAGCTCCTGCCTCATCAGATTAGAGCTGGGAAATCGCAGCCAGATGGTCAATCATGAGCTTCAACAACCAGAGGAGCAGGGATATTTCGGGTTTGAGGGTTTCCCAGTATGCAATGGCACAGACACAGCGTGGGGGAGGCGTTGGGTTCTTCTTGCTTTGGGTTTACTAATGATGAGGGGTTTGCTGGGATTCTGTTTCTCAAGTTCAGGGTCTTGAGCAGGAGTTGATGAGGAGGGGCTGAGGGAGCTGGGGGGGGCTCAGCCTGGAGCAAAGGAAGCTCAGGGGGCCCTTGTGGCTCTGCACAACTCCTGACAGGAGGGGACAGCCGGGGGGTCGGGCTGTGCTCCAGGGAACAGGGACAGGAGGAGAGGGAACGGCCTCAGGCTGGGCCAGGGGAAGTTTAGGCTGGATCTCGGGAAAATTGCTTCTTGGAAAGGTGCTCAGGCATTGGCACATCTTTCCAGGGCAGTGGTGGAGTCACTGTCCCTGGGGTGTTTAAAAACCTGTGGATGTGGCACTTGGGGACAGGGGGCAGTGGTGGCCTTGGCAGTGCTGGGAGTGGTTGAACTCAATGATCTTAGAGGGCTTTTCCAACTAAACAATTCCCTGATTCTCTGACTTCAGCACAGGAAAAGGAGCATGGGGCTTCTCCCATGGGCTCTGTGGTTGACCTTCGGCAGGTGGGTGAGGAGTGGAGACCAGAGCTGAGCACGGGGGCTGTCCCTGACAGAACCAGTGAATTAGGAGAAGGAAGGAGCTTGAGGACAGGCAGGAATGCTCTGTGCCTGGAGCAGCCACGGGGGGAGCTGGAAAGGAAAGTTTGTGATGCAGAGAAAGGGCAGCCTGGGGTGTTGTGTGTCTCTGGGCACCAGACCTGCTGCCTCCTGCAACTTTTGTGGCCCTGGGCAGTTGGCCAAGGACCATCTCCCTTCTGCCAGGCACATCCAACACACCGTGGTGTCCTTGTGTCCCAGCTCCTGACAGAGGAACCCTGCCCTGATCAAGAGCTGTGGGTGTTGTGTGACCCTGCAGGGCAGCAGGCTCAGCTGGGCCCTCTTGAATTCCTGCTTTTTGCCCTCCTGACCCCGAAGATTTTGAATAACTCAAGATTCAGAAGCAGCCAGTGCATCTGGAATGTTTCTGACTCACTCATCGCGCTGGTATCTCGACACCAGCCCAAAATAACTCCGTGCTGTGGCACAGCTCTGCTGTGGATGGAGCAAAACTGCACCAAGCCCCTCACGGGGTGCAGAGCTGCCCCTGCAGCCACCCCGGGGGAGCAGCCCCGGTTGCTCCTGGCCAGGAGGACACAGGGGTCAGCAGGTCCTGGTGCAGAGCCCCCCCACCCCCTGGTCACTGCCACAGCCAGAGGAGCCACAACCTCTTGCTCACCCCTCACCCTGTCCAGCCACGGGGGCAGAGCACGAGGCTGATGGCGATGGCTTCAATGAGGTGGGCTGGAGCCAGAGAGGGCTGGGTGTCCTCCCGAGGGAGCAGCACCCCGAGGTGCCCAGTCACCCCCAGCACCCCGAGGTGCCCAGACACCCCCAGCACCCCGAGGGGCTCAGGCACCCCCAGCAGCCCGGGCTGGAGCTCAGCTCATCCCTGCCGGGAGCTGGGGCCGGACGTTCTCCTGCCACCTCCGGGGACACCAGAGCGAGTCCCTCCAGGGCCCCGCAGGGAGGGGGCACTGCCAGCCCCACTCTGGGGGCTCTGGGGGAGGTGGCACAGCAGGAATTGTCCTGAATGCTGCCCCTTGTCCCCGGCGGGCAGAGAAGGCCTCCCCCAGGGGGGTGACGCTGGTGTGATGACCCCTGAGCAGCGCAGGACCCCGAGCACGGATGCGCTCCCCCCGTGCGGGGCTGGCACCGCGGGGTCACGCGTGGCCCTGCAGCGTCCTGGGGAGCTCGGAGCGGCTCCTGCGCGCCCGTGGGCCGTGCTGGGAGAGCCCTCTCCTGGCCGGTGTGCGAGGAGAGCGGCTGTGCCGGGGAGCGAGCCCGGCCGTGCCCGGTGACCGCGCTGCCCAGCGGAGCTGCCCCCGGGCTGGTGCCGTGCTCCGTCCTCGAGGGTCCCTCTGGGGGCTGGGGACATGTCCCCAATCCCCTGCTGCCAGGGTGCTCGCTCAGCTGAGGGTGGTGTCCCCGGGATGGAGCGGTGTCCCCGTGCTGGGACAGCGATGGAGCCGTGTCCCTGTGCTGGGACAGGGATGGAGCCATGTCCCCGTACTGGGACAGCGATGGAGCCGTGTCCTTGCACAGGGACTGAGCACCCCTGTGATGGGACGAGGAGCAGCCACGGGTCCCCACGGTGGGACAGGGTCCCCAGCCAGGCAAAAGCTGACAGGGAGGGAGCTGGGTGACACTCACCATGTGCCATCCTCTCCATGCTGGAGCCATACCGGCTGTGCCAGACTCAGCACGGCAGTCGTGGGGGACAGGCCAGGGCGGAATGTGGGACACGGGGGACAGCAGTGGGATGAGCTGGAGGGATCCAAGGACCGGAGCATCCTCACAGATGAAATCCTGGCCCCGTCCCCCCCTCCCCACGCGGCTGACAAGCGGAGCCCCATCGTTTTCCAAATCTTTATTGTAAATAAATTCTGCGACATTGCAGGAGGCGGCCGGGGCCGAGCCGGGAGCGGCGGCTCCAGCGCGTGCAAAGCGGGAGCTCGGGCCGGGCGGGCCGGCGGCAGCGGAGCAGGCGGTGCGGGGTGGCGGCGGTGCGGGGAGCGGGGGACGGGGACCCCGCCCCGCTGTGCCCGTCCCCGGGCCGGGCCGGGCCCGTGGGAGCAGCGGGGGCCGGGGGGGCTCTGCTCTCTTGGCTCTGGAAGCACCGGGTGCCCCCCGCCCCGCCGCGGGCCCTCCCGCCCTGACAGCGTTAAAATCATTAAGAAAAATCCCAGTATTTATATATATATATATGTATATTAATGTCCCCAAACCCAGTGACAATGGTGGCTCCTTGCTCTGAACAGGGGGTGTCCCCTCGCCGCAGGGAGCACCCCGGCACTGTGGCTGTGGCAGCTGTGGGGACACTGTGGTGACGGTGATAGAGATGGGGGCTGATCCCAGACCTCTGATGCCCACGGTGGTCCCAGGTCCCCACGTGTCCCAACCCAATGTCACAAAAGCAGCCACCACCGGATCCCAGCCAGGGGATGTCCAGCCACCCCTGTCCTGCTGTCACCTCCCACTCTGTCCCCTGGGGTGCCACCACAGCCACAGCACCCGTGGGTGTCCAGAGGGGCTGTCACACCAGGATGGGTGCCACCACACTTTGGCCATGGTTGGGCTTGGGGACACCCTTTGTCACTCTCTGTCTCCATGGCAAAGGGACCTGGTGGTGGGCAGGGACTCTGGGCAAGGAGGGGACACAGAGGGGACACCCCCACACTGCCGTGGACAGTGGGTATCATCCCCCATTGTCCCCGTGCTGGGTGTCCCCAGGAGTGTCCCCATACATACAAACACACACCACGATGTGTCACCAAGTGTCACCAGGGATGTCCCCTCCATGCTGAGTGTCACCAGTGGTTAAAGGGAGCAGCGTGGCCCCCAGTGCTCCGAGGTGCTGTGCTTCAGGTGGCTCTGCAGAGCCACCCCATGCAGGGTGACATGTGCCACGTGCCACAGGGAAAGGGTGATGTCCCCCCCGACCTGCCATGGGGGTGGGGGACAGCCAGTCTGGGGGGAACGGGTGTCACAAGCCCTGGGGCTGGGGTGACAAATGCCACCCAGCAAGCTGCCCTGTGTCCCCAGCCCAGGGCTCACCCTGTACCCTGGTCCCCCGGGGGGCCCTTCTGTCCCCCCCAACCCCAGTGTCACCAGTTTGGGGCTCACCTGCCTGAGCTGGGGACATGGGGGAAGCCTTGAGGCAGAGCTGTCTTCTGTGGGTGCCTGTCCGTCCACCGGGGACTTCGGGGTCCCATGGCTTGGGGGATGGGGGGAGAATTTGAGGGGACAAACCCCACACGGGGCTGCTGAGCTGCTTTGGGGGGTGGGGAGGCACATCTGGGGGTGCAGGACCTGTCCCCTGTGGGACCCAGCCCAGGCACTGGGTGGGGGGGCACGACTCCAGGCCCTGAACTGGGGAAGGGCACTGGCCTGGTACTGGGGACACTGGCCTTGTGCTGGGGACACTGGGCTGCCTTTTGGGGTCCCAGGGCCCCGGCTGGAAGATGCTCTGGAGGGCAGGGGGGGTGGGCCGGGGCTGGCCCCGCAGGTACATTCATTCCTCCAGTGCCGCCTGCCCGGGGGGCCGGGGGTCCCCGTACATTCGTGGCGCTGCGGGGGGGGCCGGGGGGCGCTCCCGGGTGCCCCCCCCCCGCTCTCCTCCTCGGCCGGACCCTCGGCAGCGCCGCCCCATTTAATTGCTGTTAATGAGGCGCTGGGGGGGTGGGGCGGAGCGGCCCCGCTCAGGCCCCCCCGGACCTGCAACACAGAAGTGGGGTGCGTTTAGTGGGGGGCTGTGACAGGGGGGTGACACATGGGGGGACACTGAGCTGAAATGAGCCAGCACCGGGGGAGGGGCTGCTGCCAGGCCCCCCCAGCCGCTGCTGCCCTTCAGCCCTGGGGGCACAGAGATGGAGACAGCACGGCCGGACACACAGCACACGGACAGACGGGCCCGGGGGCTCCCACGCCGTCAGGCTGCCGGACGGTGACGGTGACAGGGACGGTGACGAGACGATGGGGGGGACACGGTTACACTCCCTGCTGCGCCGGGTCGTACCTTCCTCGGCGGATGTTCCTTGGGGGGGTGGCAGGGGGAGAGGAGAGGAGCATTAGTGTCACCCCCGTGTCCCCGCTGTCCCCCCTGGTGCGTGCCCCCACCCAGTGTCCCTGGTCCCACAGGCAGCAGCAGTGTCCCAGTGCCAGGCAGGAGCACACACGGGGGGCCCCGCCCCAGCACCCCATGCTTGGGGACAGACACGGCCATGGGGTCCGGGTGACAGTGACACCCCAATGGCACATGCAGGCAGGGCAGGCAGGGCCGGGCGGCAGGCAGGGGCTGGGACAAGGGACCAGGCAGGGTCGGGGGGCCAGGCAGGGCCAAGGGGACCAGAGGCCACACGGCGGGGACGCCCAGCCCCGGGGGGACTGCAGGGCACGGCCCGGCCCTGGCGCAGTGACGCTGTGCAGAGGGGACGTGGCCGGTGACAGCAGCAGAGGGGACGAGCCATGCGGTGGCTGCTTACTTAAATCCCCAGCCTGTCCCCCCTAGGACGATGGCAGCCACCAGCACGGCCCCCGCGATGGAGCCGATAATGATATTGGTGCCACTGGGACCTGTGACAGACGGGACAGGGAGGAGGGGACGGGTCACACGTCAGTGGGAAGAGGACATGGGGACATAGCCCCAGGGACGCCCCAGGGCCATGGGGAGTCGGGAAGGGGACAAACCCAGCCACAGGGAACATGTCAGTGGGGAGGGGACAGGGGGACACAGGGACACAGCCCCACGGCAGTCCCAGTGCTGTGGGGACCCGGGAGGGAGGCAAACCCAGCACAGGGACCCACCTCAGTGGGGACGGGATGCAGGGACATGGGGACACAGCCCCAGGCATGACCCAGAGCTGTGGGGACCTGGGAGGGGGGACAAAGTCAGCCCTGCCCAGCTGAGCTGCGGCACCAGGGTGTGGGGACACTCTGGAGCCGCGGTGTGGCTGGGGACAAAGCGGGACAGCCGGGGCTGTGTGGCCTGGGGACAGCAGGGAGCCTCGTCCCCGCGGGCACACGGACCCTTGTATCGCTCCGTCTCCCCCGTCGGCTTCGGCTCCGGGATGGGGTCGTAAACGCTGCAGTCCTTCCCCGTCCACTCCGCCCGGCAGATGCACTTCCCCTCGTTGCTGCAAACCTGTGAGAGGACGGCGTCACCCCCCGCGACCGTGACACTGCCCGGGTGTCCCCCTGTCCCCGGCGCGCCCCTCACCCCGTGGTCGAAGCAGATCTTCCCGTCCCAGCTGCCGGGGCAGGAGCTGAAGTTAAAGGCGGTGGCTGGAAGGCATTTGCGGTCGAGACAGAGCATTCCGGGCCCGCAGGGCGTCCCGTCCTCCACGTAGCTCAGGTCCGAGCCATCCACCAGCTGCACGTGGCCGCCCCTGTGCCAGGACAGCCGCACGGTGACACGGGCACCGCTGGGGGCCGAGCCGTGCCGGTGCCCGCGGTGGCAGCGCCCGCGGTGGCAGTGCCCGCGGTGGCAGTACCCGCGGTGGCAGCACCCGCGGTGGCAGTGCCCGCGGTGGCAGTGCCTGTGGTGGCAGTGCCCGCGGTGGCAGTACCCGCGGTGGCAGTGCCCGCGGTGGCAGTGCCTGTGGTGGCAGTGCCCGCGGTGGCAGTACCCGCGGTGGCAGCACCCGCGGTGGCAGTGCCTGTGGTGGCAGTGCCCGTGGTGGCAGTGCCTGTGGTGGCAGTACCCGCGGTGGCAGTGCCCGTGGTGGCAGTGCCTGTGGTGGCAGTGCCCGCGGTGGCAGTGCCCGCGGTGGCAGTACCCGCGGTGGCAGTGCCTGTGGTGGCAGTGCCCGCGGTGGCAGTGCCTGTGGTGGCAGTGCCCGCGGTGGCAGTACCCGCGGTGGCAGCACCCGCGGTGGCAGTACCTGCAGTCCACATAGCGGTTCTGGTGGTAGAAGGTGGTGGTGGCGATCTCCCCGCTGAGCTCCCCCAGCCGCGGCGAGCCCGAGATGTTGGCGCAGAGGAGGAAGCCGCAGAGGACGTCCCTTCAAGGCAGCGGTGGTGTCACCAGGGCGGCGGGTGGCACCGGGAGGGGCCGCGGGGACAGGGGTCACTCACTGCTTGTTGCACTGCAGCCAGCCCAGGCCCTCGCGCCCGCAGTTCCCCCGCTCCGTCCCCTCCACGTTCAGCTTCTCGTAGCAGAAGCGCTCGGCCGAGCCTGGCAGAGAGCGATTGTCACCTGCTCGTCCCCCCCTGCGTCCCCTCCCGCCCCCGGCCAACACTCACTGCGGCCCCACAGCGCGTTGCACTGACGGTCCCGAGTTTTGCAGCGCCCGCCGTAGCATCGTCCCTGCGGGGAGGGGACAGGGGTCAGGGCTGGGGACTCAGGGGACTGGGGAGGGGTGACAAGGCTGGACAGGGGCTCACACAGGTGCCCTGCAGGGAGGTGCTGCAGGGACAATGAGCCCCCCCCCACATCCCCCCCATGCCTGGTCCCGGGAGCACTGCCCCAGCTGTGAGGTGCAGGGATCAGAAGCCACATGTGTGCACAGCCAGGGGACAGCAGAACCCCCAAAACTCACACCCAGGGGCTCAGGGCCCCCCAAACCCCAAAACCCACATGCAAGTGTGTGTGCATGGCTCAGCTGTGGCTGTGATTACTGACAAAAAGTCACAAAGTGGTTTGGGTTGGAAGGGATCTCAAAGCTCATCCAGTTCCATCCCCTGCCATGGGCAGGGACAGCTCCCACCAGGCCAGGCTGCTCCAAGTCCTGTCCAGTGGGGCCTTGGACAGTCCCAAATGCACTTTTAACATGCACAAGCCCAGTGCTGGGCCTGTGGGGATGTGCCCAGCTCGGGCTGGGCTGAACTCACCTGCTCGTTCTCACAGAAGTATCCATCCAGCTTGTGAAGGTTGGGGGGACACTGTGGGGACATGGAGAAGAGGTTGGGTGGTGGCACAAGGCCCCACAATGTGTCCCACCGTGTCCCCTGGCCCCACTCACCTGGCTGGAGTCCCCGGTGCAGGTCTCGGGGATGTCACACTCGTTCACAGCCTCCCGGCAGGACACTCCACGTGGCTCGTACTGCCCGGGACACAAACCCAACTCAGCAGGAAGGGGACAGGACCCCGGTGGATCCACATCTGGATCCTGCCCCTCGAGCCCGCTGGACGCTCCCAGCCCCGCACCTTGCAGCCCTTGCAGCAGAGCCCATCGCTGCACATGGCATCGTGGGTCAGGGTGCATTTCTTGCAGCAGTTTCCGCCGCTCCTCGCACACTCCTGCCAGGACAGCAGCCGGAATCAGCCCCTGGCAGCCCTGCAGCCCCCAGGGCGGGGGGAGCAGCCCCTGGCCCTGCTCACCGCCAGCGAGCCGCAGTCGCACTCCTCGCCCGCCTCCACAAAGCCATTGCCGCACTCCGGGGGGTCCAGGAGCTGCGGGGACCGAGCGGGGACAGGACACAAACACAGGGGAGCTGCTGGGGACCCCGAGCCAGCCGCTGCCGTGAGCCCCCCGAAAAGGGCATCACATGCCCGGGGAATGGCAGCACCCCCAAACTGCAGCCAGGCACGAGGTCCCCCTGCTCTGGGAGCTCAGCAGCAGCTCCTTGGCTGTGGCAGGGGCTGGGGACACCGCGAGGGACCCCGGAGCTGCCCCCAGAGCATCGCTCCCCACTGTGACCCCCAGAGGGGCGGGGGGCCGTTACCTTCAGGGGTTTGTTGAAGAGGCAGCTGCCGCCGCCGTCCTGCAGGAACTGGTTGTACTCATCGATGCTGCAGCGGGAGAACTTCCGTGGCAGGTAGTACCTGTGGGGTGGGGGTCACTGTCACACCGCCACACCCTGCCCGGGGGCACTGCCGGGCACACGAACCCGGGCGGGACCTCGGCGATGTCCCCGCCGGCAGCGGTGACGCGAGCTGCGGCAGGGGATGTGGCAGTGCCACCCCGAGCGGGCACCCACCCTGTGTCCTCCATGATACAGCCCAGCCACGAGTCCGGGCAGCGGCAGTCCCCTGCGAGGAGAGGAGAGGGCTGCGGCTGCAGAGTGTCCCGCCGCCAGCCTGGCGGCACCGCGGCGTGTCCCCACGGTGCCCACGGCCCCGCGGGAGGTGGCTACCTGCGGCCGTGCGGTGCTTGTTCCACATCATGCCCACGTTCTGCCCCAGTGTCTGTGCCAGTGTCACCGCCATGGCCGCCACGTTGCCGTACTGCGCGGGAGGGACGCGGTGTCACCGCGGGGACCCCCGTCCCTGTCCCCAGCCCCCGGCGCGGGGGTCGCGCCTCACCCACCTCGTTGACGCCGCCGGCGCGGGCAGGGGAGCAGATGCCCCCGACAAAGGCGGTGCCGCTGCGGCTGCTCTGAAACGTCCGACCCCTGCGAGGAAGAGGATGGTGGGGACGGGGGACGCTGTCCCCGGCCCCGGGGGGGACACGTGGCCACAGCGCTCACGAGAAGAGGTGGACGGTGTCACTGTGCTCTGCCAGCCCCTCGCGCCGGTACTTCACAAACTCGTTCAGGGTCTCCAGGGAGTCTTGCCCCATCCGGATCCGGTCCTCGGCCGCCCACGTCTCCATGGCCACCAGCACGATGCGGGTGTTCAGCTGCTCCTTGTAGATCTTTGGGGACAAAGGGACGGTGCTGGGGAAGCGACCCCTCCCAGGGACAAACCCACCAGCTCCTGGGGATAAACCCCTGTGGATGACTTCAGGAGCTGGGCACACGCATCCGTCACCAGGGACAATTCCCCAGGGACAAAGGACTGCTGGGACAAGCCCACCATGTGCCAAAGGAAAAAACAAGAGTGAGACAAACTCCCTGGGACCAAACTGTCAAGGGACCAACGCAGCAGGTGCTGAGGACCAAACCCCGGGGTAAACCACCAGGAACTAGGGACAAAGTCCCTGGGAACAAATCCACCAGCTGCTGGGAACAGTCCCCTCAGGGATAACCACCCTCCCCC